GGCCAAAGGCGTGAGTCAGGTGCTGGCGATTCAAACATGGCGCCTGCCTGCCGGCTGTGCGGGGAGGACTCGCCAAAGGAGCAACGGCCTCTGCCAGCCCTTCTGCCTGGGAGGAAGCTGCCCCTCTAGCTCTCACCTGGATTTCAGGCAGGTTAGTTCCTCCCCGAGTGTCCCGGTCCTTTCAGGCTGCTGCCCGGCGCTGGGCTCAGAGGGAGCGTCCGAGTGAGTCCGTGCCGGGCCCTTTAGGAGGAGCTGCTGGGGCTCCCGCAGCCTCCGCAACCCTCAGCCACAGTCCCTGCTGATTTCACAGCCCGATGTTGTGGGGACGTCTCTTCCCAGCCCTGGAGCCCTGGGCTGGGGGGCCTGATGTGGGGCCAGGACCCCTCACTCCTCTGGGAAACCTCTGCTGCCGAGATTCCCTCCTGGGTTTAAACTGCAGCACTGGGTGTGGGCCCGAGGCTGTGTCTCTGCGATTCAGCCCCGATCTGTCCACTGCTTTTTCAGTTCCCTGTTTGTAGGACTACTGTTCAGCTAGACTTCAGGAGGTTCTGAGTGATGGTTGTTCTGTATTTTAGTTGTAATTTTGATGTGGTTGTGGCAGGCAGCGGGTACAGTGGTTACCTACACTGCCACCTTGTTCAAGAACCCCATCAATTGACTTTCAATAGACACTTTGGCAAATCAATGGAAAAAGGCAAATCTTTTTAACAAACGTTCCTAGAACAACTGGATAAGTGTATAATAAAACAAACACTGAGCCATTCACACCGTACACAAAAGTTAATTTGAGATGGATAATAGCCCTCAATGTCAAAGTGGAAACTATAAGGCTGCTACAAAAACATGTAGGAGGAAATCTTCACAACCTGAGGTTATGCAAGGATTTCTTAGACAAAACACCAAAAGCACTAAGCACATAACAAAACTTGACAAATCGGACTTCATCAAAGGCAAAAAGTTCTGCTCATCAAAAGGCACCATTAAGAAAATGAAAAAGCAGGGCACCGATTGTACCCAGAATATATAAAGAACTTCTACAAATCATTAACAAAAAAGCTAATGACACAATAAAAAATGGTCCAGATACTTGGGCAGACACGTCACAAGTACACCTGTCCTAAAAATACATGAAGGATGCTATCATCATTAGTAATCAGAGATACAAAAACTACAGTGAGGTTCCATTTCACACTTTTACCATAATTGAAATCTAAAAGACTGGTAACACGAAATTATGAAAAATGTAGAGAAATTGGAGCTCATACATTGCTAGTGGAAGTATAATAAAACAACTTAGAAAAATTGTTTGGCAGTTTTTTATAAAAGCAAACATACAGTTAGCATATGACCCAGCAATTCTATTCCTGGATATTCATGAAGAGAAATGAAAACATATGTTTACAAGAAGACTTGCTCAAGAATGTTTGTAGCAGCTTTATTTATTATAGCCCCAAACTGGAAACACCCCAAAGGCCCATGAATAGGTGAATGTAAAAGCCAACTGTGTATCCACACATTAGAGAGCTACTCGGCAATAGAAACACACAACATGGATGGATCTTAATGACATTATATTGAGCAAAAGAAGGCAGACACAAAGGAGCACATACTGTAAGAGCAGGCAAAACTAATGCATGGTGATAGAAGTTAGAACAGAGTTGCCCGTGGAGGAATGGGTTGGGGACTGACTAGAAGGAAATTTTAGAGAATGCCTGCATTCCGTATCTTGACTGGGGAGGTAATTACAGGCCTATACACATTTATCAAAACTAATGGAAGGATACACTTAAGACCTGTGCATTTTGCTTTTTTCTTTAGTTAAAAAAGAAAAAAAGAAGGAAAATTTTAAAAGATGATCTCCAGTTCCGATACTCCAGCCAGCCCCGCCTTGGAGCACAGGGCTCCCAAGCCCAGCTCCGCCCTTGCTGGCTCCTGAGTGCCCCACGAGTACTGTGAGAGAGGGAAACTGGAGAGAGGACCCACTGAAGCAGAGGGGCAGGAGGGCATCACATGGATGAGACTGTGCCAGACAACTGTTCATTTGGGTTTGGGCCAAAGCCAGTTTCCAGTAGAAACTAACCCTTTTTCCCGCCCCTATCCCTATGTCTATTCCAACATCTTACTGCAATTTCCAAAGTGCAAGACAAGACAGAAAGAAGTAAAGGGAATAAGAATAGCTCCGAGCCGACTGGAACATGTGGCTTTCCCAAAGCCATAAACTTGAGTCTGTAGACCAGACACTCTATAGGACTTCAGAGCCCAGAGCAAACCCTGCTGCTCCCTGGACCCGCTCCCATCTATTAAAAACACACTCACACCCTCACAGCAACCACGTGCAAAGGGTGCTGCTGTTCATCCCAATTTACAAATTAGAACTCTGATGCTTAGAAAAGTGAGTGACACCCCGGAGCACACGGCTTAAATCCAGATCTGTCTGATGCCCAGCCCATGCCCTTAGCCACTGTTTACACTACCTGATGCTCTGATTTATGCAAATTCAAGTGAATCCTAAAAGATAGCAGCTTTGAAAGGAAAAAAGAGTTGTAAAGGGTGACATGGCCCTGGGAGGGATTTAGTGGCGAGAATGGTGATCCCACTCTCCCTCAGCTGTAGTCAAGGGAGTGGGAGGTTGTAAGTGGGTCGGACACATATGAGCTCCAGAAGCTTTTAGCACCACCTAGATTCCCTCCAACTATATCAATATTCAACTCTGGTCCCATAGGAAGCCTAGAGTCCGCCTACACCTGCACTGTCTAATACAGAAGTCTCTGCCACATTGGCTATCTCACTTTAAATTTCTCTTAACTAAAGTTTGAAAATTCATTTCCTCACTTGCACATATCAAGGCTCAGTACCGTAAGTGCCTAGTGGTCACTTCATGGGACAGCACAGGTCTAGCCCTTGGTCCTTCAGGCTGGCCATCCCCAAAGGCTGCTGGGCCTTTGATGACTCTGCCTGTGGCGCCCGCAAGATGAGGCAGGCTGGTGCTGATCAGGGAAGGGATAAGAGGTGAGGGAAGTGGCACAGAGCTGATGAAACCCCAAGGACATTAGGTAAGGAGGTGGGTGGCATGGTCAGACATTCTTCTCTTCAGAAAGTATCCTTTATTTTCTCTTTCAGAAGAGAGTTCTTTTCCTGACCAATGACTACTTCTTCACAGGCATCAGTGACACACCTTTCAGGTGAGGGATACATGTTTTATTTTCAGAAGGGAAGGGTGGGTGGAACATGAATACTAGCAACACAGGGTAGAACTTTCAGGTCTGGGGATGGATTTACTCATAGTTAGTTGGCAATTTTGTGGTAAAAGAAAAAGACCCAGCTCTGCATTCAGGAAACTTGAGAGGTCTAGACCTGCTTAGAGCTCTAGTCTGGAACCAAACTGCCTGGGTTTAAATCCCAACTTCACCACTTACAGGCTGTGTGAGCTTTGTCAAGTTACTTACCCTCTCTGTGTCTTAGATTCCTCATCTGTAAAATGAGGGTAGTAATAGTAACTACTTTTTGAGGGTATTATGAGGCTTGAATGACATAATCTACTTAGAGATCTTAACGCATGCAATTGTAAGCAATTGTTACAAATTTGAAGATCTCCTAGGTTCCCTCCAACTGTATAAATATTTAACTTCAGGCAATATACAGATTAGGAAACAAATAACCCATATCTCTGAATTATCACATTTCTCAGTAAATCTTGGTTCCCAGCCCTGCTGGCTTGTTAGAATACCTGAGGAATTTTATAAATTTGCCAAGTGTCCAGTCCCCATCTGAACCAATTTAGTCAGAATTTCTGGGATAAGGGCCAGGCACTAGTATTTTTTAAAGCTCCCCAGTGATTCAGATATTTGGCCAAGGCTCAAAAGCGATGTTTGCCAGGAGAGAGAGGGAGGCATGGCGGGATTCACCAGGTGGGAAAGGACTCTCCTATTTGTGGGGCCCTGTGAGACCTGGAGACCTTCCTACCTGTCAGAGAGGTTCAGGATGTATCTTGATTAACATAGGAGCTGCTGATGAGGATGTGTGTTCTCTGCTCTCCCCAGTTTGGGAGTGGTGCTGTCCCAGGGCCACGGAGAGTACCTCCTCCTGGGGAACACATCTGTGGAAGAAGGTGGGTCAGCGCCAAGTACTGATGACAATTTCGAGGGGAAATAGATGCTCCTGGGACTGAGCAGGGCCAACCCAAGCAAGAGCTGGTTTGACAGCCTCCAGGTCCCAGGCTTGAGACCAGGCTCTGAGAGCCGGGCCGCAGGGAGGAGGGGGGTCTGTGTGTCCGGGGCACCCTGGGTGTGCCAGATCTGCCAGTCAGCCCGAGATGTACCAACTGTGCATTGTCAGATCCTGGGAGGCTTTGCTGGGCTGGAGGGGTGAGCCGGAGGGGAAGGCTTCAAGGGGATGTGTGTCTCTGAATAAAGCTGAACTTTACCTGTCAGAAGACTATGAAGAAGGCATGAGAAAGGAGGCTGGGAAGCGTGAGGAAGCAAATCTGCAGCCGTTCGCTCGGGCTGCTATAACAAAGTGCCACAAACTGGGTGGCCCCAACAATAGAAACTTACTCTCTCACAGTTCTGGGGCCATGCTTCCTCCAAGGCGTCTTCCAGCTCCTGGTAGCCCCAGGAGGTCCTTGGCTCTCACTGCAGCTCTTCCATATCACCTCCATCATCACATGTGTTCTCCCCTTGTGTGTCTCTATTTTCCCTTCTTATGAGGACACCAGGCATCTTGGATTAGGGTCCACACTAATGACCTCATCTTAACTTGATCACACCTGCCAAGAGCCTATTTCCATATCAGATCATATTCACAGGTACTGGGGCTTAAGACTCAACATACCATTTTGGGGGACACAATTCAACACATAACAGGAGCTCATGGAAGTGAACCTGAGAGGGGTGGCAGGAAATGGGGGGAAGGATGGCAGAGAAGGCCCCGCCTTCCCTAATGCAACCTGCTCCTGACTGGCAGCTGCCTGGGCACCTTGAGAGAACAAAACCCATACCAGGGCTCAGGGATATCTTAGGACATCCTTGGGAGATGAGGCCACAATTCTCTTCAAAGCCCACACTTTGCCCATTCTCCGTTTACTTTCCCTTGAACGTATCTTGTCTCTCCTCTCTGCCACTGTCCTAGTCACTGCCACCCTTCCTGGAAAACCACAGCAGCCTCCAGCTGATCTCCCTGCCTCTTCCTTTCTTTCAACTTCTTTCTGCCAGAGGGAACTTTCTAGAAAAGTCAAAATGGATTTTATTGCTGCTAAAGACCCTTCAATGGCCTTCTGCTTTTTTTCATTTCCCCACACACTAGCTTCAAGGTCTTCCCACACTCTACACTCTCCCCCGAAATGCTGTCCTCTCCAGCCCCTGTCTCTTATCCCAGCCAACTCGGACCCACTCCTTGGGCCAGCGCACATGTCACTTCTCCAGGAGCCATCCCAGGAGGCCCCCTCTCCCCACTCAGGCTGGATTACTGCCCAGCTATGTGCCCCACGTCCCCTGCCTTCGCCCTTTCACAGCTTATGTCCTGATCCTGGAACATCCTCCTTCCATTTTCTGCTGGTCCCAAAACAAGCTTTCTAGGCCACCACAGTCTCCCTCCTCCCTATGCTTTTCTTCCTCTACCCAGATATCCCACCTTTACTGCTGCAGGGCACACGGGGTGCTCTCCCTTACCCACTTCTCTGGGGGAGACCAGCCAGTGATCCAGGCTTCCTGGGCTTACTGTGGGGACAGGAGTGTCACCCTTTGACAATCTGCCTGTGTCTGTGTCAGTCCAGAACCTCTTTTAGTGATGCCACAGATGTCCCTTGGCATTTCCATCATCCTTGCCTTCAGTCTGACAAACCTTAATTTGAGCGCTTATTTATTTTTGAGCACTGAGGGTGCTCAGTAGGATGTTTTTTCATTCATTCATTCAATCAGCAAACAGGTCCTGATCCCATGGTCTGTGTAGGTGCTGTGCTGGGCCTGAGGCTACAGAGATTACACAAAACAGACATGGCCCATCTCTGGGATCACCTTTTCACTGGCCATTAAGCTCAGTCAGGTACAATGAAGCCAGAATCACTGGTTTCAAAGTGCTAGCTCCTTCGAGGGAGACCTAATAGGTAGAGTCTGGACATGAGGCAATGGGGAGAAAGAGCGTTTCAGGGAGTGAGAGCGACACGAACAAAGGCACGGTCTGTGCAAACCCAGCCCAGTCCTGCTCTGAGCAGAGAACAGGGAGGAGGGAACCAGCCCTTCCCTGAAGAAGCTCCCTGAAGTTGTTGCTAAGCTAGTCAGGGGCACATCCTCACATCGGTGAGCGTCGTGTGAGTGTGAGCTCTGCTTTCAGGCCTGCACGACCTGCTGCACCCGGACCTGACCCTGGCCAGCGACTGGTAAGTGGAAAGTCCCTGCACAAGGGTGGGGGG